ATTTCCACACACATGCATAAAAAAGCTCTATTTGACCTTTAATTGGAAAGGTATTTACTCAATAGGTCTATTTGGAAAGATTTGACATATTTACCATATTGAGTATTCAATCCATGATCGTGGCATAGCCCTTTATTTTAGCCCTTCATTTCAACCCTGGCTTGGAGATATTTGAAAAATAAAAATCGAACAATAAAAAATAAGACAAATAAAAAAAACAAAGTATAACACTATTTACATAGCATTTACGTTTTATTAGGTATTATAATTAATCTAGAGATAATTTAAATTATATGAGGGGATGTGCATAAGCTATATAAAATACTTCTCCATTTTATATAAGGAAATTGAGCATCTTCAGAATTTGTACCTGAGGGGGCTCTTGGCACTAACTCCCCACAGATACTGGGGGACAACTGTGATGTTGTAAGCAAACGTTGGATAAGTCCCTCGCATGGGGGAGCTCCATTTAACAACACTAGAGGAAGGTGTCCTATACCACTGGCCCTTTAGTTACTTAAAAATGAGAATGCTAGAATGTCTTTCCTCTCTATATTTACTGGATGATATGCAACATTGTCAGAAATTATTGAGGCAGTTTTCAAAGAAATAAGTTTTTGGAAAGGTCCACACATATGATAACCTTTTCTTAATCTCCTAGGATACATTTTTTTGAGGAATAATTGCTCGTCAGATGACACTTAAGAAAACCTATTAATTCACACCACTATATATTGGTAAGAGGACAAACACTTCATCTCTTTCTAGGATATGCTGGCTTTTATAATTTTTTTCAATCTGATTATATTTAAATGGTGACATTTATTTAGTTGTTCACTTTTCCAATTTCTAACAGGATTAGACTATTTTCATAGGTTTATAAAAAGGATATAAATCCCCAGTTGCTAGATAACTTATTGACACAAATTATACATCAGCATTACTAATTTCTTAAACTCTGATAGGTGACAACAAAATATAGGTAGTGTGGGACCCCCATTGTAAATAAATTTCTAAATGTTATTTATTAAAGATGATTATATACATAATCATTGTTTAAATAATTATTTATTATATATGAAAGTGCTTCAAAAAGTTTATGTAAAAATTGAGAGACGTGAATTAAGAGATGTACGAGTCTTTCCATAAACTTTTTGAAGTACCCTCATATAGTATTTTTAATGTAAATACACACATTGTGGTGGATGTCATATATGAGCACACACATATATGTATACATATGTGAAGTATCTGATTTCAAATTATGCATCAAGGTAAATGAATCAAAAAAATCAATTTTATTTTTATATAACTAATCATTACAAATTAATCATCATAAGTAATTCCGAATTAATCATCATAAGTAATTCCGTCAACTATTGTAGATATAATAGTTTAAAATACAATTGTGTTTCTAGATGCACCTTTTAAAATGATACAGTTACACAGTCAGATGTGCTGTTTATCTCAGTTAATGTTTTATTGTTGGACATATTCAGATAAAGAATGGCTGGGAACTTAATTAATAATTATAAATTTAAAAGTAGAGTAACAAACCAAATGTTAAAAATTGTGAGGTCATTTCTTATAGAATAAAAATTTATTTAATGAAATAAGTGCTTCATTTAAAATATCTCTTTGAACAACCTGCATCAGGTCGACTTTTTTAGTCTCACCACAAACCTCCTCTACTGTTACTCTTAGCCCTCAGTGTTGTTTTCTATAGTTTGTAAATCCAATCAGCCAGTTTCACACCTTTCTGCATAACTTAATCATCTATTTCCTAGAAGTGGGTGTGATCTTAGGTGAGTCTAATCACTTAAATAGCACACGCGTCCAGAGAAGGCCTCTGCTCCAGGGAAGACAGAATTTTCAGCTGCCAGGTGTTGAAGAGCAGAGAGTTACAGCTGACCTTGGTATCAACAGATCTTCCAGAGGTTCCAGTCGTGAGACCACGCATAGTAGACACTGGTGCGTATGGAATTGAGAGTAAAGGCCTTCATGCTTACTTTCCTTTACAGAAATACTTTAAATTTACCTGTCAGCCCATTTGGATCTTGTTAATCAAACAAGTAGCTCCTAGTTATTTAAAATGACATCAATGTAAAGTATCTGTAACTAGAGCATTTGTAGTATATGGTTTGAGTTATATTAAGTTATTTGATTTATTTTTATTCCATTCGTTTCTATATTATTAGATTTTTTTAGGCCTTAAAAATAATTTTCTGCAGTTTTTATGCAACTATGAAACCCATAACCANGTTTTTATAGCTGAGTAGTATTCCATTGTGTAGATATACCACATTTTCCGTATCCACTCATCCGATGATGGACATTTGGGTTGATTCCAGCTCTTGGCTATTGTGAAGAGTGCTGCAATGAACATTGGGAAACAGGTATACCTTCGACTTGATGTTTTCCATTCCTTTGGGTAAATGGTGACATTTATTTAGTTGTTCACTTTTCCACTTTCTAACAGGATTAGACTATTTTCATAGGTTTATAAAAAGGATATAAATCCCCAGTTGCTAGATAACTTATTGACACAAATTATACATCAGCATTACTAATTTCTTAAACTCTGATAGGTGACAACAAAATATAGGTAGTGTGGGACCCCCATTATAAATAATTTTCTAAATGTTACTTATTAAAGATGATTATATACATAATCATTGTTTAAATAATTATTTATTTTATACGAAAGTGCTTCAAAAAGTTTATGTAAAAATTGAGAGACATGAATTAAGAGATGTATGAGTCTTTCCATAAACTTTTTGAAGTACCCTCATATAGTATTTTTAATGTAAATACACACATTGTGGTGGATGTCATATATGAACACACACATATATGTATACATATGTAAAGTATCTGATTTCAAATTATGCATCAAGGTAAATGAATCAAAAAATCAATTTTATTTTTATATAACTAATCATTACAAATTAATCATTATAAGTAATTCCATCAACTATTGTAGATATAATAGTTTAAAATACAATTGTGTTTCTAGATGCACCTTTTAAAATGATACAGTTACACAGTCAGATGTGCTGTTTATCTCAGTTAATGTTTTATTGTTGGACATATTCAGATAAAGAATGGCTGGGAACTTAATTAATAATTATAAATTTAAAAGTAGAGTAACAAACCAAATGTTAAAATTGTGAGGTCATTTCTTATAGAGTAAAAATTTATTTAATGAAATAAGTGCTTCATTTAAAATATCTCTTTGAACAACCTGCATCAGGTCGACTTTTTTTAGTCTCACCACAAAACTCCTCTACTGTTACTCTTAGCCCTCAGTGTTGTTTTCTATAGTTTGTAAATCCAATCAGCCAGTTTCACACCTTTCTGCATAACTTAATCATCTATTTCCTAGAAGTGGGTGTGATCTTAGGTGAGTCTAATCACTTAAATAGCACACGCGTCCAGAGAAGGCCTCTGCTCCAGGGAAGACAGAATTTTCAGCTGCCAGGTGTTGAAGAGCAGACAGTTACAGCTGACCTTGGTATCAACAGATCTTCCAGAGGTTCCAGTCGTGAGACCACGCATAGTAGACACTGGTGCGTATGGAATTGAGAGTAAAGGCCTTCATGCTTACTTTCCTTTACAGAAATACTTTAAATTTACCTGTCAGCCCATTTGGATCTTGTTAATCAAACAAGTAGCTCCTAGTTATTTAAAATGACATCAATGTAAAGTATCTGTAACTAGAGCATTTGTAATATATGGTTTGAGTTATATTAAGTTATTTGATTTATCTTTATTCCATTAGTTTCTATATTATTAGATTTTTTTTAGGCCTTAAAAATAATTTTCTGCAGTTTTTATGCAACTATGAAACCCATAACCANTTTTTTTAGGCCTTAAAAATAATTTTCTGCAGTTTTTATGCAACTATGAAACCCATAACCACCTAAAATGTTCAATATAATGTGTGAATATACTACTTTTTATACACGCTAATATAAAATGTGTTGAATTCATTACAAAACATTGTAAAATTCCTATTTACTGTCCCTTCAAACCCTTCAGTTTGCAGACTAAAATTTGAAAAGTATTCAAAAACAATCCAACCAACTGGTAAGGGCTCCCAAGAAGTAGCATTGATCACCATAGGAAATATTGGAAACAAAGATTAATTTGTGATCCATTAACCTATCTCTGCATTCTTTAGTGTAGAGCAGAAAGCCTGGTGTTTATCTATTTTTTAAATGTAATTGATTAATTGTTGCTGATTATCACTGTAGGATGAATATTTACCTTTTCTGAAAGTAAAGGTACTCTCTCTGATGGTCTGAATTGGCTCTGGGAAAAATGTTTTCCTAAACTAGAAATAATAGATAATTTTTACATTTTGCTTTTTTTGAAAGGACGAGTTTGATGTTAAAGTTAAAAGAATAAATTCAACTGTTTATAGTTTTAGGCATTGAAAGTTGACGTTAACGTTGATTAAATCAGAGTAAACTGAATCAATTTTTCCTTGTCTTTGGAAAACTGCCTCCGTGACATAGGAGGCAGAGAGCGTGGACTATTAGCATAGAGACTAAGAGTTGTGTTGTTTATTACAATCATGGGGTCATTGGGAGAGAAAAAAAGAGATACAGAGATTTTGGAAGTGCTTCTGGATTAATCAGCTAATACAAATAACTCTAGAATCATCCCAACTTTTACCTTCTGCCCCAAGATTTAAGCTTGTCCAAGTAACTGAGGTATGACTGAGAACACTGCTTTTTCTTTTTTAAACAAAAAGGATATGAGAGGGCTAGCTCGTCTCACTTTCTCATTTGTATCACAGTATAAATCCAGTCTGTCTACATTTACCAAGTCTAGGTTTCGACTGGGGGTAAATTAATGGGTAAATTGGACAGAACTCAAGCAGACAAGTAGAACTGTCCAAAAGCTTTTTTCCAAAGAATAACTCCCACAAGAATAACTTTATCTCCTCTCTCTCTCTCTCTTTAATTTTTTTATTTTATTTTATTTTCAGAAACATGGATTCAGATACCTTGCAAGCCTTCCAGAGTGAGCTCACATGCTCCATCTGCATAAACTACTTCATAGACCCTGTCACCATCAACTGTGGTCACAGCTTTTGCAGGCCCTGCCTATACCTCTGCTGGGAGGAAGCGCAAACTTCAATGTGCTGCCCTGAGTGCAGGGAAATATCAGAGAAGCCAGACTTCAAAACCAATATTGCACTCAAGAAGCTGGCTTCACTTGCTAGACAAGCCAGACCTTGTCACGTTGACAGCTCTAAGGACCAGATCTGTGTAGCGCACAAGGAGGCAAAGGGGCTCTTCTGTGAAGTGGACAGAAACCTGCTCTGTGGACCCTGCTCTGAATCAATGGAGCACAGGGCTCACAGCCACAGTTCTATAGAATGTGCTGCGGAGGAATACAGGGTATGTGATACCTCTAAAGCAAATTGGAATCTATAGGATTCTAAATCAGAGAGAGAGAGAGATGAGGACTTATGATAATGAAGTTGAGAGAATGAAGATGTTGGAGGTGGTAATTTTTCAATATAAATCCCAAGCTATCGATATGTCCTTTCCATGTTGCTAATCAATGTGATACTATAATCATGGTTGGGTTTAGCCCTCAGTAAGGGAATTTTCCTTAGGAACATTGTCCAAATATGGGGAATTGGTGCAGATGTGG